CCGAGTCCTGTACGGTTGTTCCACCCGTTCTAATAGAAAGATGAACATTATTTTTGTGTTTTGAAGGTAGTTGGTCACAAGGGAGTTAATAAAAAAAAAAAAACTTACCAAAAAAAGAGGAGAAAAGTGGATCAACAATCGATGGGTAAAAACAGGTGGTAAAAACTAACAATGCCAGAGTTTGCAGCACCACTTTATAACAGGTAACGATCACATTGTTTAAATTGACAGTTAAGTGGATTGCCTCGACACCGGGTAAATCCTCAAGATTATAAGACACATATTTTTTTGAGATGCCTCGTCTCTTCTAACCTGCTTAGGGTATTAGCTACTCATTGTGATCCATTTTGCTTTGCTTTGAACTGGAGAAATCCACTTCCAGACCTCCATCTGAATTGTGCATCTCATCTGGGTCACGTGTCTGAAACCCAGCAATAAACTCCAAAATCATTTTGTCATCATTTAAGCTAGTGATTCCTCTCTCACACACACAGCTCCCCTCAAGTAACATTTACTCAAATCTATACCAAAATCAGAAATAAAAAAAACAACATTTTTTGCGTATCCACTATAATATTTTGTGTCTCCAACGCCATTGAGGTTTGGTGGTAGAAACACACCATGGAGGAAATCAGTCAGTTTATCTGCACTGGAATCGTCAACTTGCTCATTCACTCAGCTAGTCGGAACATTGACACAGGTTTACCGTAAGTATTTTTAATATTTTGTTTGTTGTTAACTGCTTTTATCTTTTCACTTCAAGCTACTACATGTGTGAGCAGTGATATTTATTCTCCATCATTCTGATTATATAAATTAGATGATTGGAAACCTGCAATGTTCCTCCAACGGGTTTGCAAAGTTTCAAGCAGCACTAAATCCACTCGATCTGATTTCAGAGTTTTCCGGTTTATGCTGACATAAAGGATAATACTGTCCTGATATTGTCATAAATGAACTGGCTTAGTAAAAAAATAATGCAGAGGCAGGCTTCTGCATATAACCTGCACACTCAGGTTTTTAATAACAGCATCATGTTGCTGAGTCATGCATAAAGGTGATACTTCATGTTTTGAGCAGCTTTAGAGGCATTTTGCACTGTATGCTCTATTATTCCTGTGTTGTATGCATCTCCAGCCCTCTTTCTGTTTTGACTTCTTCTAATCTGAGACGAAATGTACAACGTTAAACTTTTCCTTCAGGCCAAGGCTCCTGGGAAACAACTCTGCATGAACTGAGCCATTTGCTTCTATCTTTTTTTTCTTTCCAGTGCATTTATGCCACTATATGTGTCCTTCACTTTATGCCAGCTCTCTTGTGATCTCTGTGTCTGACTCTCTCTCTGCAGGCACGTTTGCATCCAAGGCTGTCTGTCTCAGTTCTGCTGCTGCTGATCATCTCACATTCCCTTCTTGATTCCCAGGTTGTTTTAGAGAGACACCGATCAGAATGTTTTTGTTTTTATCAATTTCTGATTTATGATTGTTGTACCCCCCTGCTCTGCCAATATTGATTGCAGCCAATTCTCTTTAAGATTTGTCAATGAAAGAATTCAAAATGGATTGTAGCTTTGCTGCGTTTGGGGTCAGCAGGAGCAGAGGCAACGTCACACTGTGTGTGTGACAGAACAGAAAAGCTGAGAATTGAAAGACTACATTTTACTGTTCTGAATAAAAGAAACAAATTGTTACAGAGTGACACTTTAAACATTAGCATAGATAGCATTCCTAACTGTAAACAGAAGTGTCTACGTATAATCAGTAGAGAATGTAGATCCTGACCTAAAGTCCCATATTTATCTGCAGGTTATATTACTAACAAGTGAAAATATTATTTTTGCAGTAACAGTTCAACCTGCCTGTTATCTCCTGCAGCATCAAGCATTGAAATACCATTTTATACATTTTATGTGTATTAAATGTTTTCAGTAACACTGAAAACAGCCAATCTGGGGTCATCTTTCCTGAGTAACCACAACCACACTGAAGAGTGTTGCTGTTAGCACTCTCTGATAGCACTGAAGATGGGGAAGGGGTCTGATATTTGGGTTTCTGACCCAGTAAGGGCTGGTCAAATTAAAAGTTTCAGATTCTAAATTGACCGCTGTGTTTCTACTTTCTTTAAGGACGGCAAGTTATCCGATTAATTAATTAATCGATCAATCGGATGAAAATAATCTCCCACATAATGCAGATTCTTTTCATTTAACGACTTAAGATTTTTTATTTAATATTAGAAATACATTAAAATATGGAAATCAGTGATTCAATTCCTTTCTAAAATAAGAAAATAAACGTTTTATTGCATAAAATGCAGCATCCCTTTAGTGAGGGCTTGGTCATTTGTACTGCAGGATGAATCTGGAGTTTTTAAAAAATATCCTTCTGACATCAACATGTGAAAACCTCAGCCCTTTCTGCTTAACTGAGCATCAGTGTGGGGTTGGGAAGATTTGCTGACTATTAATAACTGAACAGCAAAAGGTGCTTAATAGGACCTTTTTTTCTTTTAACAGAATTTGAACCCGGTGGAGCTAAAATAAGGCAACTTGACGAGTTTTGGGTAACATATTTAAATAAAAAGAAGGTTTTTTTATCATGTAAAATGTGTAAATTGTTTGCACATTTAACTGGAGGACTGTGTCCTCCAGTTAATTAATATGCGACTAAATTAATTGCTGATTAATTCACTAATCAATTTATCACGATCAATCATTTCAGTCCCACTTTCTTCACGCTGTGGCTTCTTTCTATAGTGCGACACTGTGGAAAAATACATTTAGAAATAAACTCACTTGACTTCCCTAACTTCATATTTTACCAGTTCCACCATAAACTCATCATGAACTTTTTAGAGAACAGCTTCCACACAAAGTCAGCCCACTCCCCCGGGGAAAAGACTGTCTTAACTTCACCCTCTGTCTCTCTCAACGCCTCGCATCATTAGGGCTCTTCTGAAGTTTCCTGAGCTCTATGACAATCCGTAATTGAAAATTAAACCTGCGCTCCGACTCTGACGCTACGTGTCAATCAGACGGCAGAGAGGGAGCCAGGCAGGAGGAGGAAATGGACCGAATAAAATGCCTGTTTAGTGTCAGAAATGGGGGAGGATGGACTTAATTGTGCAGTAATGTAGGAGTGATAGATAGCATTACAGAGGAGAGTTTTAAAAAGCACTTTATGATTAAAACCGTATCCGAATGTTCTTAAGAACATTTGTTCACGCTTATGTTCTTTGTTAGGATTTCTGAAGCCTCCTTTAGATTATTTAAACCCTACAGAACTCACAACATGTAAAACTAATAAACTCTAAACAGATCAAGACTACAGAGATGCATTATGTCTCCAAAAATGCAGGAAAACGAACCAGATTTGTTCCTTGTCCCTTCCGCTAAATGCTTCCAAATTCTCACTAAACGAGCAACAAAGTTGCTAAGCAGGCAGCAGCAAGAAGTCCATGTTTCATCTTTGGGTATTTGACTGATGTTTATAGTGATTTTATTGGCTCAGAATGTCAGCTTTTTAATGTCTTTATGCTGTTCATATCTGTCTCTGCCGTTTCTTCACTTAATTCCACATCCTTTATGTTTTATTCTGGATATTAATTTAAGCATTTGGCCTCATATTCATTCAACTTTTTTTGTCAGTTCACTGCCTGGCTGTTGCTGAAACTTCTATAAAGCATAAAAGAATAAAGAATAAAACTTTGTGTTGGATTTGAAAGCATGGAAAATGACATGGAGCTAATAGCGAAAGTTCAAGCTGGAAGACTCCATCCCCTCCGTTCGCCCATCGGCGTCATGCTCATCTCCAACCTCAGCGCTGGACCTCACCCGGCGAGTCCAATCATCAATCAAGCTCTGCATAAAGGATCCACACCCAAGCCGTCAGCCGGTTCCCAGCTGCGTTCAACCCTCCACCGCCCCTTCTCCACCCACATCCTTCAGCTCTCCAGGATAGCATCCTTTCCCAACCTCCTCCACCACCAGTGTCGGGCCCCGGGGGAGAGAATCCCTAATCAGTTATCAGGATGTTCATCGAGTTCACATCAAATCTCAGCTCAAATCAGCTGCAGGGGTCCGAGCACCAAAGAACTGATATTCATTTCTGTCATTAAACCTTTTAATTGTTCCTTTTTCTCCGTCTGAGTCTTTCCACATTGAACTATTAATAGAATCGTTCTATTTCAGATTGATATTGTTGTGAATTAAATCTGATTGAGGTTTGTTGTATTTTTAAATCATTTTTGATGTAGAATTAAACCCAAAACGAAAAATTTTCACTTGATTTTTTTCTCAAATATTCATTATTTAGTTATTTCTTCCCTCTTTTGTTGTCTTACCAACAGATATTAAGTACTTTAGCCGTTTTTTAGGGGAGAGTTAAAAACCTAAGACTCAAAACTCAACTCTGCCCATTTCTGCCCTTAGTTCAGCTAAATAAAACACACGCAGAGCTGAAAATGTTACCTTTTGAACAAAAGACAACTTGTAATTTTTGATTCTAATTTTTGAAATGGGAAATTTATTGTCTTTTAAAAAAAAAGTACAATTTTATTTCTTTCTCAATTTAGATTTTAAAATAAAGCAAAATATAAAACTTGTACATATTTCAGGAAATTTGTGAAACATGCGCAGTTTCCAACCTAATGACGAGAAAACTCGACCAAATATTTTTATTGTTATTCTATAATGGAATTTATGTTCATAAAAAAACACTGTTGGTTATTATTTTAGCCTAACAAGAGCAGCGGGTTGCAGACCTCTGCTCTAGTGGAATATATACGGCAAACCAAAAAGAAGAGAAACAATGTAATAATTTTTGACAAAGCACTAAATGGAGAGACGGACACAACAGAGAGGAAGATGGCTGTTACAAAGAGCGGCACCTCTGGGAACTTTTTGTCATATTGCGAACAATGACTATATATTCAAATATAGACTACCTTATGATTCCAAACTCTTTCGACAGTTCTGCTGGGTCTAAGCCAACAAGACTCACCAGGTGTGCTGTGGGGCGGGAGTCCATCTGCTCCGGCTTGCTCGCACGAACGCGCCTTTCGCCACGCAGCATGCCTTTAAGTTTTCCACGCAGACGGTGTGGGACATCGTAGCGAAGATTTCACGCGGAGCTCTCCGGACTTCCGGTTCTTCCTGAAAGTCCCGCTTTAAGCAGAAGGCGCGTGAGGAAAAGACTGATCATCTGGAAGTCCGCATCAGCGACGACCCGTCGGAGGGAGTTCGGCCCCTCTCTCCATCGGACGAGACGTGGCAGTTGTCCCACGAGAGTGGGTGTGTGAATGTGTGTGTGTGTGTGTGTGTATGAGAGAGAGAGAGACCGTCGTGGTGGTCACACTGCTCCGCGCGGACCACTCAGGTGCGTCCGGAGCTGCGCGCGCTCCGCTGCGCTCTGACAAACACAGGCTGATCTCAGAGCAGTTTGAGCGCGTCAGAGGGAGGGTCTGTCATCCGCTGCTGCACGCCGGGCTGTGACTTTTGATTCTGACTGAGAGGACCGTTGATGGGAGAGGATTAGGACCACTGAGAGAGAAAAAGAGGAAGAATTCTGACTCTTTTTTCCCTCAGAATTTTGTCTTTAAACTTAAAAGTCAGAATTTGTTTATTTTTCAGTGGTACTAATCCTATCATCATGCCAAAAATATTTACAACAGCCTTTGCCTTTTATCTCCTCACATACACAAACTTAAGTGAATTTTATTTGCATCTTTTACTACAGATGCAAACCTATTTGGGATATGTTTCCAGCAGTTAAACTGTGGGGAAAAAAAGATTCTGACTTTTATGTCAGAATTCTGACTTGATGCTTGCAGTCCACAGTCAGGCTCCTGCCCCACAGAGCACCGCTCCCCCATGTCTTTCCCACTCAGCTCCTGCAGACTAGTGGCAGCAGCAATTAGTAAACCCCTGGTAGTATGCTCAAGTCATCTTCTCAGCCCATTGCTCATAAGAATGATTGTAAACGGCTTCATGGAGAAGCATTGTTATGATGATGAGAGTGAGTTTCTTAAAGAGACAGAGACCAATGACAAAGTGTCAGATGCAAAGTTCTATTTCTTTTAAGGTATGTTTGACATGTGCAGCATTTTCATAACAACTGAAAGTAACAGAGTTACTTGACTGTATATAACGACACTGTGTGCCTAATAAATACACTATATCAAACCATTCCTGGGTACATAAGGACATAGGCAACAAATTCATTTCAGGGCATTCATTTCTCTCATCCTCTTTGAAATAATTTCTCTTAAAACCTTGGAAGCCCTTTATAGAGCGACCAGCAGTGTATGCGGCGTCATATTTTTATTGTGGTTGAACTTCTTATTAGGCAACAGACACACCCAGACTCCCACCACAGAAAGCAGCCATCCGCCAACTCAGACTCACAGCTAGTCGGGGGTTTATCATCTGAGACAACAACCTCCAGACGCTGATGGATGCTAAAGAGAAACCAGTGATGATGGCAGCAGAAGCATCCATCATGCCTTGTTAAACGCCCGCTAACAGCGCAAGGACAAAACTACTGATGTGCCAAGAACCACTGAAGGAAAAGACACAAAAACCTCCTAACGAGACACCGAGCGCAACTTCCTCCTTCACAAAATGTAAACAAATGTAGCAGCATCAGCTTTTAGCAGTTGTTGTAGAAATCCTGCAAAGACCGTGAGTCATTTCGACTGCTAGCACCAGACACAAAGGTTTGTTTTGGTTGTATTCACCCAGAATGCCCTGCGCTGTAGTCCGCTTCCTGCTTTTGGAGCGGTCTCTGGTCCACTTGGCGTCCACATAGGCATTAGAAACACACCAGAGTTCACTTCAGCCAAAACCGAACCGAGGCGGACTGGAGATCAATTCAAACCTCGCCAAAGTCTAAACCATTCCTGCATTACACCAAGGTGCTTATGAGGTTTAATGAGGTCAGAGTCAACTGATTGTGTGTTTCGTCTTGTACAACCACATATTGCCTACAGTGGAGTAAGAGCAGATGACATGACAAAGATCTGACAGCAGCCAGCCTGCTGACCCTCACTGATGCCATGAGTTTATTATTGATCCTTCTTGTGCCTCATCTGTTTGCTTCCTCGGTTGTCACTCTCAATACATCTCTCAGCGTCATCCTTAAATACTCTGCCTCAGGTATGTTTATTTATTCAATCCAATGGTTTCAGGTTGTAGATTTCATTCAGTGGTTGCTGTATTCTGTTAATGACTCTAAAAGTTTTCTCTTGGTAGGGCTGGGAGATGTGGAAATGATAAATATGAAATTTTAGCCTCCCTGTAAAAAATAGATAACCAAACAGTTGAGAATAAATTGAGAGATAAAATAACAGCAGCAACAAAATTGTCTGGAATAGTCTGTCATTAATCTGTCAGACAGGCAATGCATTCGTTTTTACAATTTTAGCAACTATTATTTGAGCTGTCCATCACAATCAATGTTACAGTTTTGATTCCTTTGGGACCATTTCAGTTTCTTTTATGACAAAAAGAGAAATCTTGGTTTAAACTCATTTTTATTGACTTATGTAACGGCGTCAAACTTCTTATTTGTTTTGTTACTGTGTTGTATTTTATTATTATTATTATTATTATTATTATTATTATTATTATTATTAGGTTTTGTTTAAACGGGTCACTTCTGTAAATGAGATCCTAAACTGCACTTTCTTATGCAGTACCTCAGAGCTCTATATCCTCAGTTTTATTCTGTTTTCATTGTAAAAATGCTGCGACTTGGTCAAATCGTCATATTTCAATAACATTTTCTCATTTGCATGATGACCTTTCTGTTTTTTTATGAAAAACAAATATCAGATAACCAAAGTAATCCAGGAACTTTGCTGTCAGTGCTCCACAGATGCAGTAGACTAACATTTTGGATTGGTTGCACCGGTGTCCCTGAATTTTATTTTTTGTGTAGCTGGCCATTAAAGAAATTCTGTAAAGCACATTTGATTCTGCCATTTAGCTGTTTGAAATCTTTTCTTTGTTTTAATTGTTTTTGGGTGATCCTGTCAACAGAACCTCAAAATCTGGATTTTCAAAATCAGACTTTAAAGAAAAGTCTGACTTTGAATGGAGCAATGGAGTTGCTTGTGGAAAACAATTCACTGGGTCTCAGGCAACTTCTACCACGTCTTTGCACAAATACCCAACAGCTAAACTATAACCATCTGCTAAGCTTGAACTTTTACGATGTGAAGTGAAATAATGAGATCAAACAATTTTATAGTCACATAATTGTGTGACAAACATAATATTGGCCTTTAAAAAGCTTCCTACCTTTTCTGTGTTCTGCGACACGCAATGAAATGCAACATCATGCAACATCATGCAGCAGCTTCCACCCTGCACCTTCCCTGCTGAATAATTCACTGCCCAGCAAATCCAACATCTTTAAGTCATGTTTTGAGAAGCAGCATTCCGATTTTCATATGCAGTCAAAACTTGTAGTGGGCTGACACCAAACTATTAAAATTCATGAGGAGTTCCACCGATTTTACAGCCTGGCTTCCGTGTTTTCGCATCTGCTCAATTCAAATCAAAAAGGCTTTATTTATCCCCTATATTTATCCCAACAAAACAGTTAATGTTGTAAGTCATATTATAAAAGTTTGTTCAAAAAGTTGCTATATTTGCTGATGTGTATGGGCTATTTTAGTGGTTTGTAAAACTAATACTGTTCTTATATGACGATATTGAGGGTCATTAATTATGTTCTTTGTTTCATTAATCTTCAGGTGTTCCAGAAGAGTCCCCAGATCAGAACCAGTCTTCTTTATCAGGTTGTTTAGCTTTTTAAAGTAAGTTAGAGAAGATATGCCGCATCTTGCTTCAAACACCGAAAGACCTTCAGTTTGCCAGGAAGGTGTTTAAACTCCTCAATCACCCCATTTCCCATAATGGCAAGGGTTTAATCTGTTTCTGTTTCTCTTTAAATTTACAACCATCTCCATTATTTGGTTTATGTTCAAGAAAATCTTGAACATAAATAATCTTCCTACACCATGATGTAAAGTGGTCCACCAGCTCTCTGTACTCACTCAGCCTGTTGTCAGTCTCTGATTCGCCCAATGACTGCAGAGTATTTCTGTAGATGCAGATGTCTGTATTGGACCGGAAGAATACAGAATGAAATAAAATGGTGCCAATACAGTACCCTGTGGTTCTCCTGTGCAACTAACACACTGATTAGACACACAGTCCTTCAGTCTCACTATCAACAAGAGTCTGTTTGACAGGTAGTCATATATCCAGGTGACTGTTGACTGTCTTCTGGCATTTCTGACATTAATAAATCAAACTGCATTGTGTAAAATGTACTGGAGAAATCAAAGACCATGATCTTCACAGAGCTTCCATTACAAGGGATGATGGGCTAAAAAATGTATGATGAGACATGATGTTACATGGATTAAATCAGGTTAACGGCGACAGAATCAACAGATTAGAACGATTTTTCAACTCTTTCTCTCTGGAATATCGACCTGATTTTGGGATTTTTAAGGTTGTGGTCCCTCTGGAAGGTAAAGTTCTAGCATCTAGCATTTTTGTCCTCCATATTTACTCAGATGCAGGTTTCAATTTTGGCCTTATCTGACCTGAATGTCTCATTTTTTGTTTAGCTTGTTTTTTTGTTTGTTTGTTTTTTAACGCTTGTATTAACTCCAGTTGTCTTACTATGATATTTTAAATTTGGTACCTTGTTGCTGACTCTATGTGAACACCTTGATGTTCAAACACATTTTTAATTGCTGTGTATTCATGTTTAGACAGGAAAACCTTCTGATTTGTTTTGCTCTTAGGAAAAATAACAAGGTTTACTTTAAAATAAGCTCATTAAAGCAACCGCGTTAACCTTTGAGGTCAAGAGCTTTTCTCTAATCTTCTGTTGTTTTGCCACCTTTCTAAGCTCATGCTACTTGTAAGCTAGCTTGAGGATAAAATAATTTACAGTGTAGTAATGAAAAAAAACTCAGCTCTGCAAACGGAATGCAAACTTAGAAAGTGATTTTAGATGTNTGGCAGGCCCCTTAAAATTTCTGTGGAATTTTCTAGTTTCATTATTTGATGTTACTTATTTACTCCGGTTTCCTCCCACAGTCCAAAAACATGACTATCAGGTTAATTGGCCTCTCCAAATTGCCCCTAGGTGTGTATGTGTGTGTGTGTGTGTGTGTGGGTGTGTCTCTGTGTTGCCCTGCAACAGACTGGCGACCTGTCCAGGTGACCCCGCCTCTTACCCGGAACGTTAGCTGGAGATGGGCACCAGCAACCCTCCCGACCCCACTAAGGGACAAGGGTGTAAAGAAAATGGATGGATGGATGGATGTTACTTATTTTGGTTTGATCTGTCTCATTCTTGTTTTTCTTTATTTCAGTCCCTCGTTGTGTTTCTAGTTATATTTATTTCTTAGTTATTTTGCTTCTTTTGGTCAAGTTTTTCTTTAGTGTTAGTATTTATTCCTGTTCCTCTG